TATATATATATATATATATATATATATATATTTGGTGAAAGGAAGGAGAAACCGCCCCAACCATTGAACATGATATATTTTTATTTTATATAACTGAAAGCTTATAAAAAATAAATATTTTTAAATAAATAAGTTATATTCTAATTAAAATTTATAGTATATAAATAATTTTTATCTTATAATATTTATTTTTAACCATCAATAATTTTTAAAAGTATTGAGATTTAATATAGAAATAACAAAAAAATTATATATTAAAATAATTAAGAGGTTAAGAAAAGTCTCGAAAATTTTTTTTGAAGAAGGAAAATAATCAAAAGTATTCTTGTTGAGAATTGGTCTCTAAAATTATTGTTGTTCAAAAATTATATATCCTAATCTATTCTATATATAGGGAAATTATATTATAACAAAAAATTATGATGAATATATATATTTGACCATATAAATTATATTTAATTTTATGATAAATAATTTATTTTGAGATATAAAATTATTTTTAATTATTGAAATTTTAAAAAAAATATAAATGAGAATGATAAATTAAAAGATATAATAAGTTAAAGAAAAATTCTAAAACCACTATCATTAACTAAAAATTTCTCAATAAAAAATAGTCCCTAAAAATACTTTCAATAAAAGATATTTTAATCTATATTTATATTTATTCACATAATAAATGTTTTATTTTATAAAACTACTTTTTATAACGAAAAAATACATATGAATATATAAATTATATTATAGTTAAAATTTATAAGCACTTTATACATATAAATTAGAATAATTATTTATTTTGTAAATGCTCGACTTTTCAACCCCTTTTACATTCATTCTCATATAAATATATGTATATTTTTTTAAAGTAAATTTCATTGTTTATTGCAAACCCTAATCTTTATAATGAACAAATACGTATGAATATATAAATTATATTATAGTTAAAACTTATAATCATTATATATATATATATATATTAGAATAATTATTTATTTTGTAAACGCTTGACTCCCCAATTCTCTTTTACATTCATTCTCATTTGAATATTTTCTTTTCTTGTAAAAGTAAACTTGGTTGTCTATTGTATTTTTCATTTCAAATGAATGATCTATTATTTAGTAAGTAGTAACCGAATATCAAAATGAAATATATATTCTATTGATCTTTAAAATTCAAATATTTTCCATATGTATAATTTTTATATTCACTTCGATATTTTTAACCTCTTATCTTTTTAGATATAGATTTTTCATATAATTTCAATATTTTTTAATTTCTTATCTATTTGAATATATCATTTTTAATGTTTTAAAAGATTATCAATAATTAAAAATAATTTTATATCATAATATTAATTCTTTATAATAATATAAAATATAATTCATTTGTTTAAGATTATTTATTTATTACAAATTTTAATTATAACTAATATTTTAGTTTATCCATTTCATGGAATAAAAAAATTCTAGCAAATAAATATTTTTTTACATATAAATTATATTTTAGATTTTTAATAAACAATTATATTGTTTATATTAGTTCTTAACTATTAATAATTTTATAACGTAAATATTGAAAAGGTGTAAAAAAACAAATATCAAAATTTAATTTAAAAATAAAAATAAAACTTATAAAGTAAAAGAGATATTTTTTTATTTTATTTCAAAGAATACTCTCAATTAATAAAAAAAAAGCCTCTTAAAATTACTTGCATCGAAGGTACAAATAAAAATAGAGACTAATTTGATGACTAAGTTTTATCTTTGAATTGAACTTCTAACAAAGTTTTGTCCTTTTCAACTCTTCTTTCTTAGCCCAGTCATATTTTCAAATTCAAGATATATATATAGCATGTTGGACATTTTGGATTAATATGTTGTTACAAGTGACAACAACGTTAGGGAGAAGATGATCCCAACTTATTTTCCACAATTCCCGTGGGTTAGTTAGTTAGTACTTAACATTTCAGATAAAATGAAACATATATTTCAAAAACTTGAAACTCAACCACACTCATCATCTTTCTCTTCCAATAAATCATCATGAAAAACAAGGTCTCAATATCGACCATATTCTTTGGCATCCCATTGTGGGCTTGGCTAATAGTAGCTTCATTGATAGTAACATTCATTGTTGTGACATGTGTCATTGTGTGCTATTGTTTCATACACTATCGTAAAAAGCCATACAAACCCCGTTTTTCTTTACCCAAATCAATTGCATGCAAGCACCATGTTTGTGATTTTAGCTCTTCCTCCCTTGACAAAAGGTTGCTATCAGCATCAAGCAATGTCTCAGAACATGGGATTAACTTTGAGAAGTTGCCATCATCATGTCATAGTCATGAGTTGGTCCTACCTAACCAGTTTGATCCACATGTTAATGGCATTATTACAAAAGATGGGTATTTGAAAGGTTTGAGATCAAGTGATAAGCTTTGTCCCTTTGACAATGATATGAGTAAAGGGTGTTGCTTTAGCCTTAAGGAGATAGAGTATGCTACTAATGGATTGGCTCAAGAAAATGTGATTGGAAGTGGGGACAATGGGATTGTTTATCTTGGTTTTTTGCCAAATGATAGACACGTGGCAGTCAAGAGGCTAGTGTGTGACAGGTTTGCTTAAATTCATAGTCAATTTAATCTCCATGTGTTTACCAATTATATTGATGAGAAAAAAATGATAATTCATTAGGCTGTGTGATTAACAAGTATGATTTCTTAGTGAATAACTAACAAGAAAATTCAACATGATGTTTGAATCCTGTTTGGAATTTGCTTTCCTGTATGCATTCAATATTCATGATATGTTTGGTGCTGCCCTATGGTTTAAATGTAATAGTTTCAGTTTTGCAAAAATTATATTCAGTGCAATGCAAAGCATCTAAAACCATCGAGAGGGATTGTTGGTATTTGGATATAGTTTAGATTGTGACTTAAAGTTTGTTCGGATACAATCTAAAAGGATTTTTGAGAATTTTTTTCAAATGTATTTCTAAATTTATATTCAAACAAACTTTTAAAAGTCTTTTTAGATACAAGTTTCAACTATATAAGTGTTTTTGAGAATTTTTCTATTAGAAAAAACTCTTTATTTTCATTTGAGAAACTTTCAAAAGCACTTCTATCTAAGCATACTCTTAGAAATTTAACCGACCGTTTTATTCTAGTTTGTCAATACTGACTCATACAACTTGATCAAATAGAATAATCAGATTCTAAGGACACAAAATGTATTGAGTTGATGCAAAAAGGAATTATGACTTTAATTTTTACCTGATTCATAGTCGCCAACCTGAGAAATTATTTGCATTCCAAATGGAGGAAATTGGACGTGTAAAGCATGATAAGCTGGTCAAATTGCTTGGATATTGTGCCGAGGGTGCTCACAGGTATATACTATACTAGTTTTATCTAAAGCTAAAATGTCTATCAAATTCTACTCATATTTACCATTTTGAATGTTATTAAAATATCAACAAATCTTAGGTATATCTAAATAGAGACTTGCACCAAGATTGTATATATTTACATTTAAAACAAATTTCACTAATATATATTATCACTTCAATTCTGATTACAGAATAGTATCAACAGCATGTACAATATTGTAACTATATTTTGTCCTTAAAACATTAATACTAATGGGCTTCCTCTGTCAGGATCTCAGTATCTGAATACGTAGAAAATGAAAGTCTGCATCACTGGCTTCATGAATTTCCCGAACAAATAAGCCCTCTAACATGGGATACAAGATTGAACATTATCTGTGGTGTTGCAAAAGGGTAAGAAGTAAATGTCAAAATATGTTACAACTTTATCCACAAAAATTACTGTTATATGATCTAAAGACAAGGTGTACTTATGCAGACTGGCATACCTTCATGAGAAAGTCAAACCAAAGATTCTCCATGGCAACCTAACATCTAGCAATATTTTGCTTGACCAACGATGGAATCCAAAAATATCTGATTTTGGTCTTGTTAATATTCTCAGTCCTGAATGCAGTCACATTATACTGGAATCATTAGGGTCAGTTCTCTTTCCATAACTAGATTCTCAAATTATTTAAGTTCATTAAATATTTCCACATTGTAAGCAATTTCTTATCACATATTATTTGATGAGTTTACTTTCTAATTTGTATGTATCATAGGAGTAATTTTATATTGTCGACCAATTAAAATTCATGTTAGATATGATTTTTAAGGTAAATTACTATACATGGCAATTTGTGATTGGATGATACTGTAATTACCATTTACACTATCAGTGTATTTTGTTAGAGGTGATTATACAAACACATCCAAGAATTGAGCGAATGGATTTTATTTTTTCTTAAGAAAAAGTAGGAAAGCCAAATAAGAAATAGTTATAGTAAATTTAGGAAAAACAACACGTGCGGATGGAGTAGCTTTTGCATATATTAATAAGCATTCTATTATGTTTTTAAAGTTATCCCAACAACGAGAAAGAGAGTCAAAAGAAGAGTTTAGCCAGATAAAATAATATTTTTATTTTATGAGTGTATTTAGATCGTGAGTTGAGTGTCTATAAATGCCGTTTATATATATATTTTTTCAATAATATATCTGTAGCGGTTAGGAGATATAGGCATAATTAATCAGACTCCATTATCAATTTTTAAGTTATTATTTTACATTTATTTTGTTGCTCATAAACTTAATTATAAGAAATTTTGCATAATTTTTCAATAATTGGTATCAAAACTTTGATGATGATTTCTATCAATTCTCAAAAAAATTATATATGAGCTAGAATGAGTCGAATTTGAGTAAGAGAAATGATCAAAGTTGAGCAAAAAGTGAAAATTAAGAAGTTCTGATATCAATCATTAAGAGATTATACAAAATTTCTAATAATCGGATTTGTGAGAAACATAATGAAATACAAAATAATAACACACAAAACTTGATAATGGAATTCGGATAATTGTGCTTATGTCTCCAACTACGAATATATTATTCAAAAATGAGAAAATTTAAATAGTAATTATACACACTTAACTCACAACCTGAATACATATAGAAAATAAAAATATTATTTTCTCTCACAACTCTTCTTTTCTCTCACTCTTTCTCGTTGTTGGAATGATTTTAAACACTTAACAGAATGCTTATTTATATATGAAAAAACTACTCTATTTACACATTTTGCTTTTTCTATTTTTACTGATAACTATTTCTTAATTGGTTTATCTTCTTTTTGTCAAGAAAAAAAAAAACTCCATTCAGTCAATTCTTGGATAGGTTTGTACTGTCACCTCCAACATATTTAAATTAAATTCTTTTTTGATACAAAGTGATATCCAATTTTCAAATTAATGTACTTTCACATGCTCCAGTTATGTGGCACCAGATAGCAATTTCACTAGCACCTTCACTAAGGGTAATGACATCTATGATTTTGGAATACTTATCATGGAGATTGTATCAGGAAGGCTTCCTTCAAATCAGAGTCAGCCACAGGTACCACTGCCAATATTGGATTCATCAGTTGTTGGTTTTCATTTCTGCTTACTCTTCTTTCAAGATAATGAATTTAACATGGCTCCAAATTACAGACTCATATAGTGGACTGGTTCAAATCAATGATTTCCAATGGAAAAATTGATTCCGTGGTGGATCCAAAATTGCTTGAAATGCCTTCTTCCAAGATACTTAAACGTGTTGCTTTGGTAGCTCTAAGATGTGTAGATCGTGATGTGAATCCTAAACTCAAAATGGGAGATGTGGTTTGCATGCTTCAGACCAACCTACTGCTTTTTGAGGTAATAACAACTTTTTCTTCATTTTCTTTTATAGAAATTTTCCAACTATAGGCCTGTTTTAATTCTCTTTACTCATTTATTGAAGGAACGTCGAATTGCCATGGAGACTTGTGAACAGAATCACTCACCACAAAATCAGCAAAATTAGGTGATACCAAGAGGAATATAGGAGTAAACAGAAGAAATTGCCACCAATTGGACATGATGCTTTTTTGGATTTTGCATAAACCAACTCATTACACCAACTGAACAGGATATGTCAGGACAAGTCAAAAGTAGATGAAATTACCTACCAAACTTTGATACATGGTTGTGTCTTCCAACTCTTTTCCTTCATGTGTAAATTATCTTGGCATTTGGCTCCATCACTATTGAAATTGGCTTACAATTAAACATTCCAAATTTTTGTAGTAAATTTTTAGCATAGTTGTGTTGACAAAGGAATAGCCCTTCTTGTGTTCGATCAACCTCTAGCCCAAGAAAATGCTTTCCAAGTTCTTTCATTTGAAACTTACCGACTAGTTTTTTTTTTTGTTGGACACATTCAATATCATATCCAGTTATAACGACGAAGTTCCTTAAAGATACAAGTTCCTTAAAGATAAATTATATTAAGCATTGTTTGTTGGGGTTATTTTATGGTATTTGTCTGAGGGGATATTTTATGAGTATTATTTTTTATGTTTATTACACAAGCATATTCCACAATGATGAGATATTGTCTGCTTTGGACCTTTTTGCTTTTGATTATCACCTAAAAGACCTCTGTAAATTGGAGTATGAGTATGTTTTATAAGTTGTTATTTTATCAATGTGGGACTTGTTTGTATCCCCAACAATCCTCCCCTCAAACAAGGGATCTAACCTTGGAATATAAGAGAATATTTTATAACAGATACTCCACAATGATGAGATATGAGCATGTTTTATAAGTTTAATTTTTTTTTTTATTTTATCGATGTGAGACTTGTTTGTATTCCACCATTATTCAACCTGAATTATGAGCTATAGAATTGTTAAGTAGTCATAGACACTGTAAGTTAGTCGGTGGTATATATTACAACTCACGTGAGTTTTATGCTTCTTAACAGATCATAAATTTCTTGATTTACTAATTAAAATATATCAATAATTCAGATAGTAGCAGTGTAACAGAATCCTGCATGGGATTGACATCAACCTTGCTTGCAGTGATCAGTGAAGTTCAATAATCTGATTAACGTAGACATGTTTTAATACCTATTATTGATTACAAGATATTCCATTCCTAACAACATTTTGGTAATAAGAAAAAAAAAGAAGACGATATATTCTATAACTTGGATTTAATTTCATTTTTTAACAACCACTATATGGATTTCAGTATTGTTTACTATATTAATAAAAATCCTTTTACATTCATTCTCTCAAAAGTATGAAACACTTTCGAAGGAACAAGTCTTCAGCTGAACACTTTCAATGGGAACTTTGTCATCAGGATAAGGACACGCAATTTTCTCTTCCTTCTGTGGCAGTAATTCACAAGGCTTAGGATAGACATTGCTTGAAACCCCCTCAATATCAGTGCAATTCCATTGCAATTTCTTTTCGCCACTATGGATGGTCACATTAGAGATACAAATTCCTGTAAAGGGATCATTATCAATTCCTTCAAGTCTTGCTGAATATGTGACATTATCTGCAAGCACATCTCTATAGTTTATTCCAGTTATGTTGGGAAGTGCTTTGGGATCAAAGCCAGGGCCAGGGTGTGAGCCATAAGAACCTGTCATCCAAAACACATATTTCATAGTGTTTAAGTTCATTCCTTTGACAAATATGTCTCTCACATATGCTCCTCTACCCACTGCAGTTTTGATCCTAACTGCTGATTGAGTGTTGATGGCTGTGAGGTCTTCAGCCCTAATATCTTGGATTCCACCTGACATTTCACTGCCTAAAGCAATCATGGCACTATCAGGGGATACACATTCAAGCCTTCTGATTATTATGTGTTGGCTTGGCATTCCAAATTTGATTCCATAATCATCCCAACCACTTTTGACTGCAACGCAATCATCACCAGAGACAATGTAGCAATCTTCAATCCTAGTGTTGGAACAAGAATCTGTAAAAAGGGGGAAATGATTAGACAGTGGTCAACCAATATAGTTTCTTTTTCTAATCTAGACCATAGGTTCGAGCCGACCACTATAAGTTACAAAACTCCTTTTGTATATTTAATACAGTTGCATATTCAGGACTTGAGCTTGAAACTACCAATTAAACTGAAAAAACTCTTTGCTAATTGATCCACATGTTCGTCCATAAGACCAATAAAGTTTAGTATTTAGTAATAATTGAAAATTTGAAATATGAAAGCCATTATGCCCATTACTTCTAATTGAAAACAAATAATCAAGATGAAAAGTTTAAAATATGGGGGAAAACCCACATTTTTTAGAGTTCACTTTTGATAGATTGTATAAAGATTTAGATATTACTTATAATGATTACAAAAGTCAACAATTTTAATTATATAACGATTTTGTATAATGATTAGATGACAATATCAAAAACCTTTATGTATTCCAGTTAAATCCTATTTCTTATTACGAGCAAGTGCATAATATCATTCATTTTGAATCAAACTAATCGATGATGAATTACCTGGATCTATTCCATCAGTGTTGGGAGAGTCAACTGGAGCAAGAATGGTCAGACCTTGAATTATAATGTCACTGCAGTGATAAAGGGTGATAAGAATGATGGAAAATATTGTGCATTAAGATTAACCATCAAAACAAATGAAAATCCTTGAGAAACCTGCTGTAAATTGGATGGACAAACCAAGATGGAGAATTGATCAAAGTGAGATTTGATATCTGTATGTGATCAGAGAACATAATCTCAATCATGTAAGGCCTGGTGAGTTTCAATTCACCCTTGTGGAACTTGTCCCACCAATAAGATCCTTGCCCATCAATTGTCCCATTGTAACCTAATGAATAGTAAACAAAAAGTGATTAAAATTAAAAATTATTTTCAGTTAGACATGACCTTAACCTCTAATAGTGGTATAGTGATGGGGCTAACAGTTACCAGTGATTACAACATCAGTGAGGTTAGTTCCAAAAATGAGACTACTAAACCTTCCATCAGGAGCATCCCTTCCTCTGCCATATGATGGTAGCACAGGAAGTGCAGGCCACTCTGACTCATCCTGTCAATGTTGGCCAAATGGTCAATGAAAGTATCTAGAAGAAATATCAATATCTATATGATCTATATTTATCTGTATCTAGATATCTATATATATAATAAAGACCATACTAATATTTAATTTCCACTTTTCTTTAGACCAACTTACCCAACTACAATAAATCATCCATTTCTCTATTTTAATCTTATAATTCTTTTTTTTTAATCAATCGCTCACATCTTCTCATATCTTTTCATATTTGCCTATATTTTAACTTTCATACCTTTTGTAAATAATAAAATTTTCAATATAATGATGTCAACAGCTGTAGATTATGATGTCAAATGCAGCTGAACTAACGTGCCAAGAAATCTTAGTTAGGCGAAAAGGTAAAAGGCTAGTGACATGATATTCGGTGACCAAATTCTAATTATTGTACTGTACTAACAGGTAATAACCGCTACATATTTGATTAATGTATTTTTACACTATAGAATAGGATGCATATGTGTACCACATGGTTAGTATTGATGCAGTAGTGGGGGATATGAACAGCATGCACAAAGTTCTAAATTTTAATTTTGTTGTTACGATTGGCACTAACAAAATAGGATGCAGATGTGCTATGCAGAAAAGAGAGATCGTATTAAATATTTGTTATAGAAAATTACAATTTTCTAACTTGTGTGACATCTCAAATAAATATAAGATGATTGACCCCACATGCTACATAAGATGGGACCATTAAATATTATGATAATTTATTATAGAGAAGAAAGGGAAAGGGTTTGACTAAAATACCTGAGATGCTAGAATGGTAGCTTCATTTTGGAGAAAAAGAGTGAAATGGCTTGTGAGATTGAAGCTTCCCGTTAGCCATTTCCCTGGTGGCACAACAAGTAAAGCTCCACCATCAGATGCATAATGGCTGAGATTGCTAATTGCACAATGAAAGGCCTTGGTGTTAGATGTTTTTCCATCACCAACACCACCAAAATCCGTCAAAACTGCACTGTGTTTTCTGCAGCTGATAGCAGGGTACTCGAGGTCATCCAATCTAGTGGCTACTCTGCATTCACCAATTCGCACTCCTTGTAATCCCACTAACAAAACTGTCAAGATAACCTCAATAACCTGTTGAAAAAAACCATAGTTTATCTCAAACACCAAAACAAGGAAATCTTCAAGTTGGTCTAATAACAAAACACAACAAAGGACAAGTTTTCTTGTTGTGAACCCAAATTATTATAAGGCTTCAAATTGTGGTCCACAAGTTGAGCGTATTCGGAAACACATTCTACAGCCAACAAATCACATATTTGATGTAAAACAACTAAAAAAAAACATAGTGTTTATTTTGATGTAGCCTTTGATCAGTTTCCAAACACAAACTTCAATTGAGCAACTGCAATTGTGGCCACATCAATCACATTTGCAACAAATTTATGCAATTCATAAGAGAAAATTAACCGTTATTTAAAACCCTGAAGGGTAACCATTAAGAATAAAGCAAAGGCAGAAGAGAGTTCCATAAACAAACCCAGAAACCAAAATGATCAAAATACTGAACAACACTTGAGGAATAAAAATATACTAAGAAAATTCATAAAAAAAATAACATTGTTTGTACACCAGAAAAGCTCAAGGCACACCACACACAAAGGAAAAAAATATTTACATTACTGAATTTTGGACACGGATTCATAGTTTGACTATGACTATGGTTTTTTTCAGTTTTCTTTGCGACACAAAAGACAAAGAGGTGATATTTAAAGAGACTAGAGATCGTAGGCGATGAGTCAGAGAAAGATTTTGTCTATTTTTTTATTCATAATAGAGGAGAGATTATCGGAGAGTTTAACGAACGTGGTGATTTTCATTGCTTCAGAGAATATTAAAGTGTGTAGTTACGTGTTAGGAAAGCACAGTATGGTCACATATGTGAATGTGATGGCAGTTACAGGAAAAAATGCCTACGTGCATGGGAATTTGGCACGATTTGTTGCCATTTTTATGAAGTTATTTTCCTTTCTTGGATGATTTGAACAGTATTTGCATAACTATATATCATATTAGTTAAGAACTTAAGATTCATATCTTGAAAATTTGCTTCATTGTCTACAGCTTTTACAAAAAGTTGTTGTCTACTCTTAGAGTACTGCACGACTCTAATAAGAACATAACACATGACAATGACATAGCATAATTATAATTTATAAGAGTTACATTATTC